TATTTCCTGCCTTACACAAATAAAAATTTTAAAAGGCATTGTCCGAGAAAAGCTCAGTTAACCTTTCTTTACGTACTAGTTGTACTTCTTAATGCACTTACTTCTTCCGCTCTCTTTTCGGCCTTGTACTCCGAGATTGTACTAACCAACTTCTCAGCGCAGAAGAAGAAGTAGACGCCAATTAGGGCGACTAAACCTTTCAGCATTGCTTCACGCTCTGCGTTTTCTTCCCCTTCACCTGCTTCTTCATGTGAATGCCCACCTGCGATGGCCTTTAGTAAAAGAAAGAATATAAATAAAGATGCAGAAATTGGGCCATAACAATGCTTCTGGAATTTTAAAAGTCAGAGCATATTTCGTAAAGTAAAATGTTTTTTTAAATTATACCATCTGCACCATCTATGAAAGAAATATTCCAAACTTCGTCAATGTATGCGTATTTTGCTCGCGAACCCTCGGGACAAATAGTATGAAACTAATGCAGCCGTTCTTATTCTGTAAAACCAGAAAACCTCTCGGCTACTACTGGAAACGATGCCTCAATCAGAAATCACAAATCGGTTTTTCGTGTAATATAAAATTGATCATAATAAAGGTTTTCAATTTAGAAAAAGTGATTCCTAGTAGGAAATTGTCGTAAATATCAAGTGCCCTATTCAGTTAACGAAGCAGCGCGCACTTTAAAAACTGTACGCCATAGCAGTCGCGCAAATAAATGTCTACCGAATCGATAGCGACCAAGCTTTCTAACCTCTAACCCATCAACAAACGTTATTATAACTAAGTTAAATCAATAACTTTAAATCAATAATCAATTAATCAGTAAATGGTCTACTTATTTTCTTGTGGAATTATTGAATATCTTACAAACGGATATTGAACAGTTAACCCTAACTACACATCTAAACATTACCCGAATTCTCATATTTAATCTAACCCTAACGTCAAATATAACTCTACTCTGTTGTCTGTTTCAGACTGTTGAAATAGCTGACGCTTACATAATCCGGTAACACTGCACTATCCCTTGCTGCTAATGTAAAAAGTTTATGGATACTTTGTCTGTTAATTTTTCCACCACAGACAAATCTTTTACGTAATGGAAAACATTAAATTCACTTTTATAGGTGGGTACTTTAATGAAACCAATAAATGTCGCGAATGCTATTCAGCAGCTGCCTCTCGCTGCATGTTATGCAGCGAGACGCAGCAGCTGAGGAGCACTCGCGAAATGCATTGGTTTCATTAAATTCTGCAGTCCTTAGCTGTTTTTTTTATTTGTAAGAGGGAATAAAAGGCTAAAGCTTTCTTACACGCACAACGCTTTATGCATTGGTCAAATGATATGCAGGCTGGTTCAGCATAGTTAGTTCTATTGTATTTTATGCTGAGGCGACCGTCCTTCCTCTTTTAGGACCTAATGGTATTAATTTAATCTCCTAACATTTTTTGAAATCAGCGTTTATCTAGATCAGAATAATTTATCCCGTTTGAATTGTCAGTGGGGCCATTATGCGCTGTTGCGAATCGCTTTTGCACTCCAGTTTCAATATTTTCTGTGTGATTGTAAAATGTGAATGTAAAAAACATGATGACGCACGTGGGGCAGCAAGTGAAGGAATGCGTCCCCTGTCAAGCAGCCAACAGCTAAGGCGACCAGAAACTGGATCACGTCATTGTAGAACTTTTTGCCCACCAGAGGAACAATTGCCACGCCAAGAAGACCGACCGCGCTGATAATGATAACGCCAACGATTGATGCGATCCAGACTATAAGTAATCGACAGTCAGGAAATATCTCTGCATAATCTGGCCATAAAACAATGCAGCCTATATTATTTGGCCTCTACATCTATTAAAACTAATCTTAATTGTAGTGACTGTGTGGGTAGCATTTGGAAATATTAACTCAGACCTTTTGGTAGCTCTGGAAAAATGAAGTCCATTTTTGTATATTCAAAGGGTAAGCAATATTCTCATATTACGCCACGACCATTTATACCAGAACATGCACAAGGCTATTTCTGATTAGCAGCTTACCTTCTGGTTTCACGTTAAAACCACCAGCACTGGAATGAGGGCTTGTTTCCTACCATAAATAAAAAGTAAGATGAAATGAAGCATGCAATTATGTTATGTATCATGTATCACTAAGCAAGCGCCTAACAATATAATCTTTGGGCACTGAGTAATCACCCTGACATAAATTGAGAATGATTTAGCTTTCCGATCTTTGCTTGTTTTCATCGGAATCATCTTGTGTCAACTTCTGCTCGCATGTTTTTCGTCCCTAGGCTTTAAGTATGCAAGATCACTACATCAGTTATTAAAAAATCGTCTTCAAGAGTAAAGAAAAATAGTGCCCCAAGTTAGGAAGTAAGGAATTGTCCAGCTCCTTTGTTATGGGGCTAAAAGCTCAAGAAGATGCGATGTAGGCTATTCCAGATGAACGTTTTGCCCTGTATTGAAAAAAACGGCGTTCACTAATCTTAGTTTACAGCTACACACCTATTTTAAATTTCTTTAGAAAGCTACAACAGTAGGTAAATGTCATGTTTTTTATTGAATTCTGTGTCCTGTCATAGTACAATAACAGTTTGTTTAAATTGATTTTCTACAAGGAAAATGAACGGTCTGAAGGCTGTGCTTTGGGTGCTCAGTTCGTATGGCTAAAGCATATATTGAGGAAAGTTTTTTTTGCTATTCATGTTATCTCATGATCCAATTCCTGCCGTAAACGCCCTGCACAAATGGCGTCAAAATGCCGGGCCGGACTTCACATAATACCCCTTGTTGGCCATCTTGGCGAAGCTGTTTTTGAAAGCTACTTCTCACACGATATGTGTGATTCAAATATGCAAATATCCTGTTTGTTCAAATGTTTGCGTTCAGTTTGCCAAAAACGTTGCTTATTTATGTTTCAGGTGCATGCAGCATGGGCTAAAAGTTCTCAGAAGCAACCAGGTAAACATAACACGGCGCCAGCGCAAAATAAAGACGTGGGGATTATAAGTGTTGTCAGTAAGGTTAAGTTCTCATATGATTCAACCACGTCTTCAGCTGAATACTCTTACTCAGACGTGGATACGAGCACATGTGATCCATGAAATTATATTCTGTTCTTATCCTGTAATATTGCGGTTGTAAAAAATTATTAATCGTCACATTAATGGTAACAA